GCAGCTGTAGGAAGATCTCTTATTTAAAAGAGAGTTTCTTTTTCTACTTGATTGTTCATCAGGTAAAAAAATAAACATACCAATATGATTGACTGGTATTAAGACTCCACATTTACATTTCACACAGCATGTGACTGACTATAGAACTAGGCTGCCTAAATTAAAATAGCAATTTACAAATGTCACAGTCAACAATGTTGAAACATGTATTTCCTCATACTGAAAGCAAAGTCTTGTCCTATAGCCCATCTATCTACCCACTCAAGAGCAAGTGAGTCACTAAGTTTAGATTACAAGAATATAACTGTAATTCTTTTAAAGCTGTTTATCACTAAAGAGTAAAACAGAGGAAGAAAGATTAAGTTTGAGGGAAGAGTTAATCAGAAAACAAGATACAAGCACCCTTGATTATCTCAACTTTATAAAGTAAACTGAAAAAGCCAAGACAACTTCAAACTTCAGAAAATATAAAAGCTTCCGAAAGAAAGCAGATTTACCTTAGTGCAAATCAAATGGCAAAGTTTCTCATATTAAAAAGCCATGACATATTTATAAATAACTGGATATAGTGTTCTTAAAATATTAGTTGTTTCTAATACATCAATACTCAGAATTACCTGATGAAAATCTCTCAATAGGCAGTCACTATTCTAAGTGCAAAAAATCTGTATTACTACTAAGGTAGCTCCTTACTCAATTCTTGGGTCCCAGAGAATTTGGCAAACTATCTACTCAGCAAACTACTGCTAAAGCTTTCTCCAGGGACCAACTTTGCTAACAAACATCTACTCCTCAAAGATAAAAGACAGCTTAAATAGAAAAGACAAGTTTCAAATCAAATGTATGTATCATAAATATGGGCTTCAGCTTTAGAGGCTGACTAGTTTGGAAACTACCAAATAAAGTAATTTCTTTGAGGAAATTTAAAGCAGTCTTATATACCATTCAGTGTTAGAGAGAGCAGTAATTAACACACAATCTTAAATTTGACCCTTTGCATATATCCTATGACAGCTTAAAATTTACTAAGACCCACACTAAAGTCTTGGTTGAGGCAAAATATTTTGTGTTGAAAGTATTTGGCTGAACTAATCAAACAAAACAGGTTTCTCTTAGCTAAGCTGGGCAGCAGAGATCTTGGGAAAAGCAAGCAATACAAATGAACACTGCATACTCCTACTCATGCACTTTAGATTTTAAAACAACAACACAACCCTGTACAACGCCCCCGGCCATCAGTGACATTCGTAGCAGGGCAGAAAGGGCGTGAAGTATGGCAAAATTGCTTGTGATGGATTTTCAGTCACGCTTTACCCTTGCATTTGAAATATTGCAAAACTGGCATGGAAAAGTAGCAAGATAACTTCCCCTGCGCTCCCCGGGAGGGATCACAACCCCCGCGTCGTCGTACCCATCAGCCAAGGACGCGCGCTAAAGCCGGGTCAGAACGCGTGGAAACTCAGTAACTACTCCAAAGGTAAACACAGTTTTGGGGGCTTGTTTTCTTTTTTGCTGTCACCTGTAAAAAGATCGCAACCTACTCCCCTAAACGGCACATCTGTTTTCAAAATAAAGTCCCCAGAGAGCCACTAACTTAACCAGGCGAGAGGTGGGAATCTCTCCCCCGTTTCTCCCCCCGGCCCACACTTCGTCTCCCTCCTGCAGCCAAATGACCAGATGAACAGGGCAGGTCACAGGACCAGGATGCAAACGTCCGTCTTGGCCTTAAACCCTCCCAGCCCCAAGTCCAACGATGCCTTACTTTTTCCCCTTCCTAAACCCATGCAAAGCCCGGCTCGCGGATTTCCCCCACCCCTGATCACAGTCCCCATTCTCTCATCTTATCTTCCCCAGCTTGTCCCCAGACAGGCTGTCCCAACGATTTGCCAGGTCAAATAAGCTAAGGACTAAAACAAAGACAGACTTCGGGGCCGAAGTTAGGCCAGCCACGCGGGTACTAACGGGGCGGGCAAACGCGGTCCAGACACACTTGCAAAGAACCGAGGAAGGGCCGGGGGCTCGGGGGCCGCTGCGCCGGCGGCGACCCGCGGAGAGGCGGGGAGGGGGCCGGGGAAACGCTGCAGAGACATTTTGGGAGTAAGCACGCGCTCCCTCTGGCGTTGAAGGGCCCGTAGTCGAATCCCAGCTGCGCCCGCGTCTAGGGGACAAGAGCCCACTCGCCACCAGCCGGGTCGCCCCGCGCCCGCCCCGCCGGGTCCGCGCCTACCTGTAGCACGAGCGGCTCGGGGTTGAAGGCCAGGGTGAGCAGCAGCTGCATGCGCTCCGAGTCCTTGAGGTTGCGGAGCAGGAAGCTGCCCGAGTCCTTGGTCTCGGCGTAGCGGCGCACCAGGCGGTCGAGCAGGCGCTGCGAGGGGCAGTGCACCAGGTCGGACCAGCCCTCCACCGCCTCGGGCGTGAGCAGCCGCACGTCGCCGTTGAGGCGCGCGAACTCGGTGCGGGGCATGGCCTGGAGCAGGTCGCAGCGGGGCCGCCCGGTGGCCCGCTTGCAGATGCTCTGGTCGAGCTGCGCCAGCTCGCGCTGCGAGCCGAGGCGCTTGAGCACCACGCGGCGGCGGCCGCCCTCGCGGGGCTCGCCGTACTGCGCGAAGTAGACGTTCTTCACGTTGAGGAAGTCCAGCAGGCGCAGGCGGCCCCACGCCTCGAACGCCACCTGCCCGTTGAGGAAGCGGCGGCACCAGCTCGTGCCGAAGCACGCCGGGCACTTATTGAGCTGCAGGAAGCGCCGGTCGGCCAGCTCGTTGCGCTGCCAGGAGGCGAGCAGCGACGGCGAGTGCAGCACCATCAGCACCAACAGGCTGCCCAGCGCCGCCAGCTTCAGCGAGCGGGACAGGCGGCCCAGCTTCGGGGGCACCAGGCGCCACATCCCGCCCGCCCGCCGCCCGCGCGCCCCACGCCGAGGGCGAGGGCACCCCCGGGGCGCCCCCGCCGCGCCGAAAGCCGGAGAGCGACCGGCAGGGGCCCCCGGGCGAGAGAAGGGGCGAGGGCGCGGGCCGGGGCGGGAGCCGGAGGAGATGTGTGAGCGCGAGAAGGGGAACGGGCAGGAGCCGAGCGGAGCGGGCTGCGACTTCTCCCCGTCACTAGTCTCCACAACTCTCGAGCTCCCTCCTCCGAGCTCCCCGCCCTCCGACTCCGGCGGCGCCTCCCCCCCGCCAGCCAAGTTATAGCCGCTCGGGGCGGGGGGAGTGCGGGGGCCCGACGGCCGCGCGCCCGCGTACGCGCACGCGCACTGCTCGCTGGGGGCGCGCGAGCTGCAGCGGCGGCGGCGGCGGCGGCCGGCGCGGGGCGAGTGGGGGACGTCTCTGAGGAGAGGGAAGGAGGGACTCACGGAAGGGGAAGAGAAGCTGCAATGTCTCACAGCGAAAAGTAGCAACAGTGTAGGAAGGTGGGAAGGACGAGGCGGCCCCGCGTCCCTGACGCCGCACGCCCCAGTTCGTGCGCGCCGGCTCTCCAGAGAGGGAGAGGGGCCGGGGGCGGGGCCGGCGGGCGGGGCGAGCGCGTCGCACCGCCCGGAAAGCGTAAGCGCGGGCTCGCGGGGGCGGCTTGGGGGCGGGCTCCGTGGGGGCGGAGCTCGAGCCTTGGAGGAGGGATGAGCTCTCGAGCTCTGGAGGCGAAGCGACTTTCAGGACTAGTTAATCTGTGATCGTGGAGTTTTACTGGGGCCTGTCTCTTGCTGTTGTGGCGACGCTCCCCAAAGTGGGGGAAAAACCAAGAAAAGAATTGCGGAAGCCTCGTGCCGTCCCCTCCCTCCGGGCGGTGCGCGGGCCGGGGCGGGGCGGGGCGGGGGGGGGGGCGGGGGGGGGGGCTGGGCGGTGTGGCCCGCGCCTCAAGCGGGGGCGCGCGCGGGGGCTGGGCGAGGCCGAGGGAGGCGGTGGGAGCCCGTGCGGCTTGGCCGGGGGAGGGCCTGCGGAGGGGACGTGGGACGGGCGTGAGAGGTGGCGGAGCGGCTGGGGCTCCGTCTTTAGCGGGTCTGTGGAGGCGTCTTAATCTTCCTGAGTGGGCGCGGGGAAGGCGCAGCCCACCAGACGCCGTGTTAAAGGGAAAGTCGGTTGACGAGGGAAGCGACGCGGCCCGGGGCCGCCCGGAGTCCCGCCCCAGCGCTGCGAAGGATCGGGGCAGAGCGGTGGGCAGGTCGGCCTGGCTCCCCGCCTGCTTCCCAGCCGGGCCTGGCGCCGCTTCCCCGCCTCGGCCGAGGGGCTGTCCCGGCGCCGCCCCGAGGGCTCCTCCCTGCGCCGGGGCCCCGGCCGCCGTGCCGCGCGCGGGCCCGGTGGCTCACATCAGCCGCGGCGCGGCGCCTTGTCTCGGGCTGAGTTTTAGGGACCTGGACTCTTGAGCTGAGCTGCGAACGCATCGTGATAATGCTCTTTCGTTTAAGCGCTGGGACAGTTACAGTGAGGAGTAGTTGTTAGTCCGGGGGACAGGTGGTTCCTGACACGGTGGTAAATGTCTGCGTCTTAACTGAGTTCATTTTAGGATCCAACCGTGAGTTTTAGAAGCCCTGGTACTGGCGTGTGTGGTCAGCTCTAGGGGGGCTCCATGAGAAACATCCAAGCTGGATTATCAAATTCGCTTTTCCGTGTTGTTCTCAATAGCCATTCGATTGTAAAAGGCAGAGCCGTCCTCTTGACAAGTACTGTTGAGGTTACTGTTTTGTCTTGCATGACGTAAGAATTCAAACTCCGAAAAAAGCTTCTGGACAATTTAATAAAGTTATTCAACATATAAGTGATTTTTGAATGATGTTCCATTGAATACAGGCACATTGGAAGATTGGGTCTTCAAAGTGTTGTACAAAATGACTACTTGAGAAATTTGGCTGCTACAGCTAAAGACCTTCTGCCACCTTTGGCAATAATTTATTTCCCTTGCCTTCAAGCATCCCCAGACTCCATACTGTGTAAAGTATGCGCAGAAGCTCCAGGGAGGATTTTCTTAGTCTGGAGAGGTCAGCTCTGCTGCTGCTGAATTGTAACTAGGCAAGTTATTACTGAACTGCAAGTTTCTTGTCTCTGCCATCTTTTCTACCTGTCCTGTTATGTTTTGTTAGTACTAGATAATTTCTGTGGAATTGCTTTAAAACAATGAAAGCACTTCATATCTTTTTCTATTTATAGTGAGAATGAATGATTCCATTCACATTCTTGCCAGTAAACTGATTAAGCTGAGAGGATTGGGCCATAGGGAGAGACTAGTTACAGGATTAAGGAGGTACTGTTTCTATGTGTGGAAAAGGTCTTTGGAGTTCTTAAACTATTTTCAGCCTCCAAATCCTTGGAATTGTATGGGCATCATTTAAAGAGTGGAACTAAAAAAAATTACTAGTCTATAGTTGAATTTTAAAAAATGCTTCTTGTGTATCTAAGTATTTTACATTTGTTTAATAGCTCTGGTATTCTTTTCAGTTAAGTTTTCTAGACTTTTATAAAGAAAGATAGTCTTCAAGAACTTAATACATTCCTCAAGGGGAAACAAAGGCTTAGAGCCATGTGCGAGAAACTGAGTGTTCTGAAGTACCAGGTTAGGATTTGACAAAATGTCAGTAAGTGGATGTTAATGTACGTTACCCACCTGTCCTCTAAACTACAGAATGCTTTTGACTAGAATGGCTTATAAGCAGACACCCAAAGTTCTTCCCCATAAGGTTAAATAATGACAAATAATGTAATTTCCAGTGTTTTGTAAAGTGTCATTTTACGATAACTGTCACTCTTTTAACTGTATGGAATGGAATTAAGTGGCATAGTGTTTTGATGCCCATCATCTATTTAAAAAAAGTGAACTAGCTCTCTCATAGTCAAAGTTTTAGAGCGTATTGCTATTCTATCCCCTACAGCAGTGGTTCTCAGTTAGGGACTGTTGCCTCCTAGGAACAGTGGGCACTATCCGGAGACGTTTTTGGTACATAACTAGGGAGTAGGGGTTACTGGCATCTAGTGGGAAAAGGCCAGATATTGCAAAACATCTTGCATTGCTCAAAGCAACCCCAACAACAAAGAATTAACCAGCCCAAAATGTCAGTAGTGCTATGCTATTGAGAACCTTGACCTACAGAATTCTACTCTTACGTAGTATGGTTTTAGGTGAAAGTTTTATTGGTTATCATTCTTTCCTGCAGCAAAAAAAAGTGCATATTTAAATTTATTGCATATCTTGTGATCAAAATGTTCTAAATGTCAATTCTGAAAAGATCTTTTGTGTCATTACAACTATTACTAGTATATAGCTCATCAAAATATAAATATTACAATTGTGAATAATTATAAAAATTAATATTTGATTGAAATGTATTTCTTAATGAGATTGGGCTCTTTGTCGTTTAGCTTAAGTTTCCATGGATGATTATTATTTATTGCTAGAATCTGACAGAGTTCAACATCAATTCTTTTTCTCTTTTTCATTTTTAGAGACATAAAGACCAAAAACATCTTGTTAATTTAAGATGAGAGGAATAAGAATATTAATATAGCAATTTCACTCTTTTTATTCCTTCTGAGTTATATGCCAAAAGTTATTTACTGACACTGATGTATCAGAATATTCTTAATGACATATCAACTAGGTTTTCTGGTTTAGTTTGGTGTAGAAGCAAATCCTTGGAATCCCAATTTGGAAAATGGTTCCTTACCTGGTCATTACTTTTCTCGATATTGACTGTTTAGTGCCCTGGCAGTTATGTCCTAGAACAACGCACGGTACTAAGATTCAGGAGGGGTAAGCGGTATTGCTTTTGTAAGGGCCAAAATGGCAATTCTCTGTGTATGCAGGTACTCAAAACAGTGTCTGATTTAAGTGGTGGTTTATTGATCATTGCTGGATGGGTGAATGGATGAACAACTGAAGGAATGAGTACTTTAGGATTAAATATTATCATAATAATCCAAACTAGAAACATGGCTGATAGCAGGGAAGCTGGTGAGAACAGGTATATTCTGGATGCATTCTGAAGGCAAACCTAACAGAGCTTACTCCAGCTTTGGATGTGAGGGAAAGGGGAGCATCAGCTATCACTGCATGGTTTTTGTCTGAAACTGCTGGAAGAGTTAGCATTTACCGAGGAGGGGGGACTGAGAGGAAGAGGATGAGGAGGATACAATTCCCCCTGTCCGTTTTCTTCAGTGCCACATTTGTGTTTCTAAGCTTAATTTAGCTGTTGAAATCTGTAGTTATCTATAGAAATAGAAATCATATTGTATATGACATTCAGTCTAATTAAAAAACCTACGCAGTCGTTTTTCCACAAAATGATATTATTCCCACCTTGTGTCTAACTTCAGTGCCTAAAATTCAAGCACTTGACAATGTTAATTGTAGCTTTTCTAAGTAATGTTAGTTATCTGATTTATGTATATGAGATGTACCTTAAGGACAGGTTTTATAGGTAAAAACTGTTCCATGTTTTAGTAGAATTCTCAACACATTTTATTGTATTTTAAATCAATAACTCTACACATAGGTATTTTTAGGACAGATGTCATATCAAATTATTGGCTCCGTTGGATGTAAAAATAAACTTCTCAAACTTATAAACACAAAAATCATAATTTTGCTTGAGATAATTGAATTATATAGTTTTCTGACTTGATCAGAATAATGCAAATTAGCTCAAATGCAATGGTAACATTATAATTCATGATTATTAATTCAGATTAACATGCAGTGTTACATAAAGTATTCCACCTTGACTAGGCTAATCCAGAGAGGCATATTTTTCTCTTAGTAAATTTTTAAAACTTCTGGTTTTTTTCTAGTTCACTTCAGCAGAGAAAATATTGTATGCAAAGACAAAAAAATTAACACCATTTCAATGAGAGGTCACTTACATATTCCATTGTGAAGACGTTTTCAAAAGTTAATACAAAACATGTACACCTGTGTAAGTTAACCTTATTATTAGCTATTTTATGGCTTGGTATACATATTGAAAGTGCCCCTTATTCAGTTGGGCCCAAGTACCAGATTCTGAGGATGTAGGTTCTGATAGTCCAGTGGAGGAGACAGGTACATACGTACCAACTTTATTACGTGCTTGTGATAAATATTGAGATATATGCAAATATTAAAGGAGCATAAATAAGGAAGAAATTCCTGTAGCTACAGCCATTATCTTTGCATGGATAGCACCTCTCTTAGGAGAGTAGGTTTTGTGCACCAGGATAATTTTGCTTCTTTCTCCTTTGACAGCCTGTTTTCCTCCTAAGCCTCACATTGCTATGTCTCCTACCTCTCCGCATCTGCTGGCTTGTACACATGGTGTTCCTGTCTCCTCTGCTGGATGATGGCAGCTGCAGCCCACTGCTCTTCTCTCTAAGCAAGCATGCCAGAAAGCTTGGAGAACCGCAGCTGCCCTTTTCAGAGCAAAAGGGCAGCTAAAGCTGGATAGCTAAAGCTGGGACTTCTTACTAAGTAAGGTATCTTTACCAGGATTCCTTCATGGCAACCACATGTATAGGTAAAAGACCTGCCATAATCTTCAGCCTAAGTGCTGTGCCAATTATAAAGATCAGCTACAGATGAGGAATGCATTTATGTTTTGTACTTGGGTATCATAATGTGTATTTAGTGTTCAAAATTATATGGTTGAGATATGTTGCTGTTTTTTTTTCCTTACAAAAGGGCTTATAAACCCTGTAGGTAAGTAATTAAGAGTTCCCATTTTAGGGAACTAAAGATTCTGGTCGGGGCTGGCCCCGTGGCCCAGCGGTTAAGTTCGCGCGCTCTGCTGCAGGCGGCCCAGTGTTTCGTTGGTTCGAATCCTGGGCGCGGACATGGCACTGCTCATCAAACCATGCTGAGGCGGCATCCCACATGCCACAACTAGAAGGACCCACAACGAAGAATATACAACTATGTACCAGGGGGCTTTGGGGAGAAAAAGGAAAAAATTAAATCTTTTAAAAAAAAAAAAAAGATTCTGGTCACCAATTCCAATGTGTAGGGTGGGTGTGTGGAAGGGGGTTCCCTACACCAACAAGCAATTCTCTGACACCAGCTGGGTGTCCTTCAATTTAACTCAGTTCTGACACTCGCTACCCAGAAAGCCTCAGATTCCATGAGTTAAGGACTCAGTCCCATAAGACTGCCCTCCACTTCCGATACCAATTGCAAGCCCTGATTGTTACCTGTGCTTCTGACTGACCAGCTACAAATCAGAGGTTCCCATGACCACCTCCTTGGGTTACAGGTTAAGGGGTCAGTCCTGCAAGACTGTCCTCTCCCACCCCCAATTCAGAAGTCAGTTGCAAGCCCAAGTTATCACCTATGCTTCTCACTGACCCCCTCCTCATGTTCAATTAATTTGCTAGAGTGGCTCACAGAACTCAGAGAAACAATTTACTCAATAGATTACTGGTTTATCATAAAAGGATATAATTGAGGAACAGCCAGATAGAAGAGATGCATAGGGAAAGGTATGGGAAAAGGGCTCGGAGCTTCCGTGCCTTCTCCAAGAATACTACTCTCCCAGTTCTCCACATGTTTACCAACTGGAAGCTCTCTGAGCCCTGTTCTTTTGGGTTTTTATCAAGCCTCATTACATAGGCATGATTGATTAAATCATTGACCATTGGTGATTGATTCAATCTCCAGCCCCTCCATCTCCCCTCATCAAGGGGTGGGACTGAAAGTTCCAACCCTCTATTCTTTGTTGGGTCCCCTAGTGACTAACTCCCTTCCTTAGGGGCTTTCCAAAAGTCACCTCATTTGCATTAACCTAGTTGTGGGCTTCTTCCATAAGGATTACATAAACCCACAAAGGGGCTTGTTACGAATAACAAGGCACCCTTTTACCTTTATGGCTCTGAAATCATTTCAGGAACTGAGGACAAGAGACCAAATATTATAACAAAAGATGCTCCCATTGCTCCTATCACTCAGGAAATTCCAAGTGTTTTGAGAGCTGTGAGCCAGGAACTGTGGATGAAGACCAAATATATATTTGTTATCATAAATCACAATTTCACAAGAACTAACTAGGGAGATGTTTTATCATCCAGTGTAATCTAATTAGAGAGTGTGGCCAGTGGAATTATGGGTTCACAATAGAGATTCCGCATCTTGGAGATATAATTGATTTACTGGTCTATCTGATTTGACAGATCGTTTACTACTTTTCTGCTCTTGTGCTGTCCTATACTTTCTGTAGAAAATAGATTGATATACAGGACTTTCTCTGGTTTTTTCCAGTAAATAATAAAGCTCTGGTTATTTTTTGAAAAGTCAGGAATTAAACATTTAAATCACGTCAAATGGAATAGAAAGATTACCTATTCCTTTATTATTATTAAGCTTCCTTCAAGATTTACCTGCTACTTAGAAAATAGAACTTGATTATAGATAAGTAAAATATATATTGGGTGCTAATATAATCACAAGATAACAAGACCATTAGGATTTGTTGGCAAACTAAAAATAGCACTTAGTGAATTAAACTAGACTATCGTAATAATTTTATTTTTATAAATGTATCATTCTAAGAAAAGCCAGCACATAATTGCAGTGTTCACTTTACAGACTTAGTAAATACAGTAGTTGAAGTTCTAGAATTTGTTTAAAAAGAATCTTTAGGGCCGGCCTCGCGGCTGAGTCGTTAAGTTTTCGTGATCCGCTTCAGCAGCCCAGGGTTTTGCTAGTTTGGATCCTGGGCATGGACATGGCACCGCTCATCAGGCCACTCTGAGGAGCCATCCCACATGCCGCAACTAGAAGGACCCACAACTAAAATATACAACTACGTACTGGGGGGATTTGGGGAGAAAAAGCAGAAAAGAAAAAAAAGCTTTAAATTTTGTATAAGGGCAGATTTAAATTTTTTTGGATTAGGTTTTGGTTGTCAAGTTTTTAAGATACTAGTACTTAATATTGAACTGTAAATAATGAAAGAAAATTAAAAGAACAGTTATGTAATCTCCAATATCAAGAGAAAAAAAGAAAGTCAAGTGTTAAGGTCTCAAATACCAAAGAGATGAGCAATGGTAAATAATGAAAACTTTCCTACAAAAACCATTAAATCATAACATGTATGTTTATTCATTTTTGGGCTGTATGTTTACCAAAACGACTACCAATGAATTACATCTTTTGCATTGTTTTCTCTCTTAAAATTGGAAATAATTGCAAAAGAAATTTTGGGGAAAATAGTAAAAAGAAATTTATTTTAAAAATTACTTTTATATTCTACAGATCTTTTAAAAAGTCATATTTAAAGAGAGATTATTCTAATAAAACATTAGCCTATCTTTTTTTATATTTTCTTAACTATTTGTTGCTGGTGTATAGAAATAAAGTCGTTTTTGTATATTGTCTTCACATCAACAATGCTATATTTCTTATTAATTCTAATAGTTTGTAGATTCTTTTGGGTTTTCTACAGACTCAAATTATATAAATTATACTAGCATCACTTTTAAAAAACTTAACTATCTAGGAATAAATATAAAGAAAGAAAGATAACACCTCTATACTGAAAACTACAAATCATTATTGAGAGAAATGAAAGAAAATCTAAATAAATGGAGAGAGGGATATACCATGTTCATGGATTAATAGATTTAATGTTGTAAAGATGTCAGATGTGAAGATGTTAATTTATAATTCAACAAAACCCCCAGTAAATCCTGACAGGTTTTTAAATTAAATTGACAAGCTGAAAATTCATACAGATATACAAAGAGCCAGAAATAACAGTCAGTCTTGAAGAACAACAAAGCCAGAGGACTTAAACTAATAGTGAAAACATATACACAGGTGATCAGCTGATTTATGATGAAAGTGATTAAGCAGTGCTGTTTCCAAGGTGATGTTTTCAATAAATGGTACAAGGTCAAGTGAATATCATATGGAAAAATACGTATATCTTGACCTGTACTTCACACACCATGCACCAAAATCGATTCTAAAGGGATTACAAATCTAAATGTGAATGATAAAATAAAGCTTGTAAAGGGAAACATAGGAGAACGTCTGCATGACCTTTGGTAGGCTGTGATTTGGGAAATCCTCAAGACTACCGTCGCATTCCATAATTGCTCGAAGCACAGAACTCAGCAAAGCTTTATGCTCATGATTACAGTTTACTAGAGTGAAAGAATACAGATTAAAATCAGCAACAGGAAAAGATACATAGGGCAGGGTGCAGGAGGAACCAGGTGCAGAGAGCTTCCACTTGTCCTCTCCCACTGAAGTGGTGTGAACAGTGCTTGCTTCTCCCAGGAACGGTGTTGCAACACACACAGTATTGTCAACTAGGGGTGTACAACCAAGCCTTGGTGTCCAGGGTTTTTATTGGGGGTTCAATCACATAGCCATGGCTCTCTTCCCACATTGTTGACCGTAGTCTCCAGCTCCTCCAGAGGTCAGTGTGATACCAAGTGGCCCAAGGTCCCCACCATAAATCACATTGTTAGCAAAGACTATTTGGAATGGTTTAAACGCCCCCAGGTAAACAAAGATATTCTTATGAGGCAGGACATTCCAAGAGTTTACCGGTTACCTGCCAGGAGCCAGGAACAAGGGCCATACCTTTCTTTGGACAAGGTTAATCTTTTGCTACACATAGGTAAAGATGTCTTAAACAGGAAATGCCAAAAGCTCTAGCCGTAAAGATAAAAAATGATAAATAGGTCTGTTTTAAGAACTTTTATTCATTGAGAGAATGATTAAGCAACTCACAGAGTATGAGAAAGTATCTTCCGTATCTATGTTTGACAAAGGCTGGTTATGTAAAGAACTCATACAAATTGATAAACAAACCCAATTGGGGAGGGGTTTGGGGGACAACAAGCAAAAGACTTAAAAAAAGGCACTTCAAAAAAGAAGATATACAAACTTCAAATTCATTAGTTATCAGCCTAATGTAAATTAAAGGCATAATATGATACCACTATGTACTTAGCCAAAATAGCTAAAATGAAAAAGGTGGACAGTACTCGAGCTGGTAAAGATGTAGAATAATCAGATTTCTTATACACTGCTAGTGAGAGTGTCAGTTGGCACAACCACTTTGGAAGACTATTTGGCAGTATCTACTAAGGGTGAACGTATGTACACCCTATGACCCAGAAATTCCGTTTCTCGGTGTATAGCCAAGACAAAATGCATGCATGCATTCACCAGCACATGTATACTAGAAGATTCATTGCAACGCTATTCGTAATAGCAAAAAACTGAAGAAAACTCAGATGTCCATTAACAAAGAGTAGATAAAGTGTGATATATTCACACAGTACAGTATGATACAGAAATGAGAATTAGTGATCTACAACTGTGCAAAATATGGTTGAATTTCACAGACAAAATGTTGAGGAAAAGCCAGACACAAAAGGATATGTTCTGTATGATTCCATTTATATAAAGTACAAAATCAGGAATTAGAGATCAGGACAGCAATTATCCTTAGGCAGTACAAAAGGATTTGGTGACTGGAAGGTGCACAAGAAGGGTTTCTGGGGTGCTGATAAGGTTCTGCTTGATCTACACACTAGTTATGTAGGTATTTTCAGTTTGTAAAAATTAAGTTGTATACAAGTTTTTTCTTTCATTAGTTAAAATTGCATCTATCAGATAATACGAGTAGCATCATGCTTTAATAGAAACAGAGTAGAAGGGATTACTGTGCAGCTAATGTGGCTTAAGCTTCAGGTCCTCTCACTTTCATGGGACCCTCTTAAGTGTTAGGAGTTTCTAAGAGTCGTAGTGGGTTCTAGGTGCAGCGAGGAAGCCAGGTTGCAGACAGAAGCATTTCCATATAAACATTTCTGGTTAAATTGCCTAAACAAAACTCAGAAGAAAGGGACCTGAAGTGCCAATCTTCCAGTAATTTGTTATATTCTGATTCTAAGTAAATATTCATTTTGTGACTAATTTCATATTTATTTTGTATTCTTTTTCTTAGATATGAACAACTCCTGCCCACCACTGCAATTCCCCAGTGTATAAACATCAGCTTCCACAAACTTAAGATATGCCTCCGAGGAGTCAGAGGAGCTTGTTCCAACCCTTGCTATGGTTTGGTTTTTATCACTGGCATCAAATCGTTCAGTTATTTTCCTTGCATTAATAGGCTTCATTTCTGTACAAGAAAATGTCTTAAATGATCATAGTTTGTCCGTCATCGTTTCAAGTAAAAATGGTTTGCCATGACAAAAGCAGCTATTTGAGCTTGCAACTCAAAAGACTTACATGTGCTTTTTCTGAAGACACTGTATTTTAGTATGCAGAAGAATTAATTTACGTGTATTTCCCATTTGTCACACAAAATGTTAAAGGGACATGTACTCCATAAAATTAATGGTTTTTACTAAGTTTTTTTAAGGACATTCTTAAACTTTTTTTTTTCATAACGTGTGGCAGGAAGAATACATTGACTTAATTCATGCTAGCAGTTTTACTCACCATTGCTTTTGCACCATCAATGCAAATGCTAATGCAGGTGTTCCAAGATAAACTATGAAATTCAAAAAGTTCATTTACCACTTTGATATTTCAGCACAAGTTGTATTTAATGCCTGTCATTCAAATAAAAGATCTTCTCTGATGATTAGTTGGTGCTGATACCAGATAGATGTAGGCAAAACAGCTAGTCCAGCAAAATCTGTAGGCCTGCCCATTTTTTAAGGTAAAATTACAATTCTGCAGACGAGATATCAACCCAATCTTCATGATTTCAGTTAAATCTTTAAAGAGTTACTGTATATGTGGAAAATTGAACTTACGTAATTTATTTTACTGACTTTTCATCCAGCAGGTATTGCGATGTCATCTGTATACAGCTTCATTCGTATTTTTTATGCTCCAGCCAATGCAATACAATAATTCAGTCTGTAAAGTGTTTCCGTGGCTTTTTCACTTCTGATTTCAAAAGCTAGAATAATGTTTGGCTTTAAAGAGCTTTTCACATCTATTTTTTAATATATTCAGTTCCTTTTTCTTTAAACTCTCATCTCAAAATGAAACTACAACTTATCTGAAAGTCTTTTGTTACATAAGACACAATAAGGTAAATTGTTAACATCTATAAGGCCAAGGAAAAGATACTTTTCCTTATATTTTTATTTTTTATTTATATTATATCCAGTTTCTTTAAATAGATTACTTCCTTCCATGAATCAGAGGACTCTGATATCTCAGTTTCATCTTTTTTGGCATTTTTTGACGTAGTCCATCGTTGGGGTGAGAAAGCAATTCTTCTAATCTCCCATTTAAAGCCAATGATCCATCCATTTCCCATGTTGTTTCTTCCTTTGCATAAATTCAGATTTCTATCTGGTTTCATTTCTCTCCTGCATTTCCTTCTTTAACATTTCTTTTTCTTTTTTTTTTTTTTTTTTTTTTTGAGGAAGATTAGCCCTGAGCTAACTACTGCCAGTCCTCCTCTTTTTGCTGAGGAAGACTGGTCCTGAATTAACATCCGTGCCCATCTTCCTCTACTTTATATGTGGGGCGCCTGCCACAGCATGGCTTGTTGAGAGGTGCCATGTCCACACTCGGGATCTGAACCAGCGAGCCCTGGGCCTCCGAGAAGCAGAACGTTCGAACTTAACCGCTGTGCCACCGGGCCAGCCCCTCTTTAACATTTCTTGTAGTGCAGTTTTCTAGTGATGAAATTTCTCAAGTTTTTAGTTTGAAAAAGTCTTTTTCATCTCAATTTTTGAAATATTTTCTCTAGATATAGAATTCTAGGTTGACTTTTTTCAGAAAAAGATTTTGCTCCATTGTTTTCTGCCTTGTATACTGAGAAGTGTGCTATCATGCATAACTTTGTTTTTCTGTATGTAATGTGCCTTCTATGGTTGCTTGTAAGAGTTTTTTCTTTACTAGGGGTTTTCAGCAGTATGATTTTTGTGTGTTTTGTATGGTTTTCTTCATGTTTCTTCTACTTGGGAGGCATTGAGCTTCTTGGATATGTAGGTTTATACTTTCTATCAAATTTGGAAATTTTCACCCACAATTTCTTCAAATATTTTTCTCCCCTTCTTTTTTCTGTGACTCCAATTATGTGTATACTAGACTTTTTGATATTTTCCCACAGGTCATTGACACTCGTTGATTTTTTTCAGTCTCATTTCTCTGTTTCATTTTGAATAGTTTCTATCACTATATCTTCAAATTCACTAGTCTTTTCTTCTGCAGTGTCTAATGTGCTGTTAATCCCATCCAGTACATTTTTCATTTCAGATAACGTGTTTTTCAACTCTACAAATTCTTTGTGGTTCTTTGAAGAATCTTCCATCATGTTCCTATTTTACTCTACTTGTTGATCATACAGATGTATTTATAGTAACTTTTAATGTCCTAATATAACCAGTGGCATTTTTGTGTCTATTTCAATAATTTTATTTTTTTAATTTAGATTATGGGTCATATTTTCCTGCCTCTTTGTCTGACTGCTAAGTTTTACTGGATGACAGGCACTGTGAATTTTGTTGATAGATGCTGGATTTTAGTGTGTTCATTTAAATATTGTTGGGGTTTGTTCTGGGATGCAGTTAAATTGAAATTAGTTTGATACTCTTGAGGTTTATTTTAAACTTTGTAGGGTAGGTCCAGAGCAGCCTGTAGTTAGGAGCTTGTTTGGCTCCACTATTAAGGTAATACCTTTCTGAGAACTCTGCGCCATGCCCAGTGTATTGAATGCCCCATGTGTTAGTCTTTCCACAAACTATTCCCAGAGTGAGAGAGTTAAAGATTGTTCTGCCTCCTCCTTTTTAGTCGTTCTTTCTCTGGTTTCTGGTAGTTTCTTCTCACATACGTGCAGATCAGTCCTCAGCAAAAGACTCCAGATCAAGCTTCTGCAGATCTTTGCAGTACTCTCTATATTTGACTGCCTCCTCAATGTTATTATATCTTTAAATTCTAGAAAATTGGCCTCCCCAGACACCAAACTCTGTTTCCTCAATTTAGTGTGATTCCTGACTTCTGTTTGGGTACCCTTCCATAAGTTACAGCCTGGAAACTCCAGAAACAAGCTTGACAAAATAGGACTTACCTTCCTTATTTCCTTATTTATAGGGTCACTGATCACTGTCCTGTGCTGACTGTCCTCCAGTGTCTGAAAACCATTGTTTTATATATTTCATCCAGTTTTCTGTTTGTTATGATGGAAGGATAAATCTGGTCCCTCTTACTCCATCATGGCTGGAAACTAAACTTCATAGTGTTTAAATTTTTTTTTTTTTGATGTTGCATTCCTTGAGAAGACATACACTTCCCAGTTTTACCACTAAAGTACTCACTGCTAAATATTGTCTTAGAATGAACAGTTTCACACACATTTATGTCACTTACTTGATCCCTAAGATGGCTGGGTTTGCAACTGATTTGTATTGTTACATTTCCAGTCTGCTTTCTCTTCTTAAGAGTTTTTTTTCCTTACAACACCAGAGTTCCAACAAAAACTGTGCAAAGAGAAAGGACAATAATAATATATGTGGCAATCGAAATCCAAAGAGAGAATAAGACACTTTTCCTGAGGAAGAAAAAAAATATCTGTGGAAACTTGATACTAAGATAACATTTAACTTACAAACTCTTAGCTTCTCTAAGATATTTACATTCAAGATACTTCAAGTTTTCCCAGGAACAACAGGTAGAGATTTGATTTACATTTGCTTTACAGGCCCATTTTTGTGGCTTTCTTAAAACAAAAAGACAATCTGCTTTAAATGTAAATTTAACCTCTTAAAAGGCAGATATATTTACAGCTTTTAAATGGCATTTCTCCTAGTCTGTATTCATCATGGGTTCAAAAGCATCTTACGGTCCAGTGTGTCACCTTTTTGCACAAATGTGGTATAACAGAAAAAAGTTTGGTCTTTGTCTCTGGTTCCTGCCACAAAGCTCCTAAACCCTTTGGAATTTCCTTAGTGATTGGGCAGCCCCCTAGATAGCTTCGGAATGGGGGCTGGTCACCAGTAAGGCCAATGCCTGATTACAAGCTTGGAACTTTCACTCCCCTCAACAACCTCCAGGAAGAGGAGAGTGGCTGGAGATTGAGTTAATCACCAACGACCAATAATTTAATCAATCATGTCTATGTAATGAAATCATCATGAAAACTCCTAACTGATGGAGTTTGGAGAGCTTCCCAGTTAGTGAACTCATTGAGGTGCTGGGAAAGTAATGCACCCAGAGAGGGCATGGAAGCTCCACACCACAGCGCCACCCTATACCTTGCCCTGTGCATCTCTTCCATTTGGTTGGTCCTGAGTTAAATATTTTATAATAAATCAGTAATCATAAGTAAAGCACTGTCCTGAGTTCTTTGAGTTGTTCCAGTGAGTTATCAAACCTAGGGAGAGGGTCAGGGGAGCCTCTGAATATTTAGTCTGCTGAGCAGAAATATAGGTAGGCTTGGCACCCCATCTGTCGCCAGCATCTCAAGTAAGAGCAGTCTTGTAGGACCAAGTCCTTAAAATTGTGGAGCCTGACGCTAACTTCAGGAGTTGGTTTCAGAATTGAATTGAATCGTTGGACACCTAGTTGGTATGAGAATTGTTGATGTGAATAAAAAACTCAACAAATATCTGTTTTTACGATGGTGGTAGTTATGGGCTGAATTGGTCCCCCCCCCCTCCATTCATATGTTGAAATCCTAACCCCTGGTACTTCAAAATGTAACTGTATTTGGAGATAAGGTCTTCAAAGAGATGATTAAGTTAAATGAGACCCTTTATATGGGTCCTAATCTAATCTGACTGGTGTCCTTATTAGAAGAGGAAATTTGGACAACTAAACAGATACCAAAGGTGTGCACACACACATAAAAGGCCATGTGAAGAGGCAGCAAGAGTGCAGCCATCTTCAAGCCAAGGAGAGAGGCTTCAAAGGAAATCAGTACTGCTGGGACCTTGACAGAACAGAAATTTCTGTTGTTTAAGCCACCCAGTCAGTGTTATTTTGTTAGGGTGGCCCTAGGAAACTAACACAACAATTTATTACTCCCTCTTCATTTCCGCTGACTTTATATGCTTATTTCAGGCCTGAGTCTTTAGCCTGGAAATTTTAGGATTGCAGTAACTAGTATCCCTGTCTAGTATCCCTGTCCCAACCCAAGGATTTGAATCATGGTTTTCAAACTTAAAAACTCGACACATAAATCACACATCAGAATTAATAGCATGAAAGATCAAGTAGAGGAAAACTTCAAAGCACAGAACAAAAAATACAGGTGAAAATATGAAGAAAAGATCAGAGAACTGAAGAACACATACAGAAGACCCAACAGTGAGTAACAGGAGTTCCAAAAGGAGGAAGTATAAAAGACAGAGTAGCATCAATAATTAAACGTTTCACAGAAAAAGAAATTTCCTAAACTGGAGAAAGACATTTATCTGTAGAACGAAAGAGCTCACTCAGGCAGGATTGAGGAAGAAAAACGCTGTTGTGGAAAATAAGACCACAGACTCAAAACTTAAACTAAGACTTTGTTATTTACCAAAAATGACATTGCAGAAAAGGAAGAAGGGGGTTCCCACGAGCTGTAGCAGAGCAAGTATAACCAGCTTTTTAATCAAAATTATCATGGTTTGCTTTTACATAGTAATACAATCAAAACCCAGTCCCAGGAATTGCATCACAGCCACGCACCACTTAAAGACACTCTAGTCAGCGACAGACTGCTTCTGAGATGGTGGTCCCGCAAAATGAGTGCCACACAGCCGAGGGATGTAGCAGACTCTATCACCAGTCTGTGCAAGTACACTCTATGATGTTCCCACACAGGAAAACTGCCTAGATACATTTCTCAAAATGTATCCCCGTTGTTAAGTGATGCATGACTATATAGTCAACTGGAAAGAAAGGACCTCGGTGGCGGTTAACGAGAAA